TTTTGCTTGAGCAAAAGTCCGCTAAAGACCCATTGGTGGTGGATGCTTTTAGGGCAGCATGCATTCGTAACGAACTGTGCAAGCAACAAGAGTGGATGCCTCGGCAATCGCCGTTTTCACGTATCAATGGAGACGGCATGAATCGGAATCAGAGATGGAGGCGGATTCCCAATTGATTCGAGTCCGATCGGAGTAGCGTGAGAAGCCGCATAAGCGCCTCTTAAATGGGCTTAAATGTTAGCTCGGCTGCTTAGCTGGCGAATCAATTGAACGTATTCACGTCAGAGGAAACTATCTCCCGCGCCAACCCTATGCACATAGTTCCTTTTAGCATAAATTCCTCCGATTGGTCGCTGCATTTTCACCGCGGTTACTCTTTCACTCCTCACGGCGCAACTCGGGAGCTCGCATTTCACCGAGCATCAAGTCCCGCTCAATCTCTCAATCCTGCGGGCTGATTGTTGGAAGTGATGATAGACAAAGCGATAGACAAAGAAGACATAGGGAGTATGGAGCTGTCCTTTTGGTTGAAATGGATGGCTCCTATAGACTAAGGGAGACAATGATGGACTAAATATCAGGTCTCTCGTGGGTTGCCGTTACTTAGTCTATCACCTAACTTCTCTGTCCATTGAAACCCGCTTCCACAATAGGATCCCTCCGTACCTCTTTTGTCTTCTTTGTCTATAGCTTTGTCTATCAATTTCAATAATGGGCCCGCAGGATGCATTCTTTACAGAAACTTACTCAACTTTTTCACTCCGCTGCCTGGAGACGTTAGATTAAACTAACCAAATTTTCCAATAAGAAATATATCGACGATGAAATTACCGGATCACGCATCTCGTTTGTGTTGTTTAAAAACATCCGCTCCCGTTTTTTTTTTCTAAGGTGTTTCGTCTTGCTCAAGTGACTTGGTCGAACTGGCTTGCGATATATCGCAGCCATTCGGTCAAAGATTTCGGAAAATTTTGAATTTTTAGCCCAAAAAAAGACGATAGTCCCTGCGTGTGAGCCTAAAGAATCATTCTAAACCAAAAAATTAGAAACATGTAGGAAAATGAAAGCAGTGTCCTGTTTGAAAAAAAAAAAAAAACCTCGCATTCAATTCAGAAATCGATAACCGTATCGAATGCGGTCGAATGCAGATATGGTTATCTATTTCTGTATCGAATGCGAGGTTTTTTTCAAAACAGGATTCTGCTTTCATTTTCCTCTTTCATGCAATTTTTTTGGTTTAGGACTATTCTCTAGGCTTATGCATAGGGACTATCGTTCTTTTTCGGCTAAAAATTCGAAATCCAGATTTTTTACCGAATCGATGCGATATATCGCTTGCCAATTCAACCGCGTCAGGGAGCTTGACAAATGCTCGTGAAAGGAGACCGAGCATACTCCATGCTTTGAACTTTTCAAAGAATATCTTTCATTAAGAGAAGAAAAATCAGCGGAGATCTTCTATTTTTCAAGAAATGACGTTCAGTAATTTTCGATGTAGAAAAAAACATATGACAGGAAGTTTGTTACGCTGCAAACCGAGATACTCATTTCTACAGTTTCACTATTGATATGTTTCTGGCTCATTCCTGAGGAAGAATTTTACATTTTTTAAGAAGGAATCGCTATTCAAATGAAGATCAATGGATTGAATTTCGCAACAGCAAAAAAAAAGAACCAAGAGCATTCCGATGTTTTTAAGATGTTTGTTTTGTTTTATGTTTTTTTTTTGACGAACTTTTATTTCAAAAAACGTAACTCCTACACGAACATTTCTTGTTTCTGTCTACATGATTTAAATAAACTAAATTAATTTCATTAAATATACAAAGTAACGTTAGATAATAAAATCATAATTTTAAAAACAGGAATTATAAAATTCTATTTCGCCGAGATTGCCGAATTTTTTCACCTTCCACGCGTAAACTGATCATCTAAACAAGTTTTGCAACCTTGGAATAGAAAGAAGAAAGAAATTAGCTTTTGGATAGAATGTGGCAGAAAGTGCAGTAAATTTAAGATTTATGAAAAAGATTTCAATTCTTCTTTAGAAATAAGAATGTGAAGAAATGTAAGATTTCAAAATAGTGCTAGTTTTACAATAGAGCAAATAACATTTTTTTATGATTTTTCGTTTTTGACTATTTTAATGATCTTGGTGTTTGTTGTGTATATAATGGTTTATTTAACATTCGAGTCTTTAATTAAATGTTATGATTTAGATCATTTGTTATGATTTAGTTCGTTCCTTCGTCTGTAAAACGACGATAAGGGATGTGCAAGTCGGTGCCCTACATCTATCGATTCACGACGCATTCATTCCAAGCTTTCATTCCGAACGCCTCAGACTGTGCAGGCTGTGGAAACCCCAACTTAAAATCCTCCTCGACAGAAAAGCACAGACAACAGGAGAAAAATGAGCGACAGAGTATCGCGAATCGCTCAATCGGTCGACGGGTGTACCCGTGCATTGGCGTGATGTTTCTCCGGGCGTCGGTGAATTGCGTGTTGCATCGGCGCGCCGTACAGTAGATCGAATCAAGAGATAGTTTGGATATAAATTTATTCACTAGAACCGCAGATTTCTGTGTTTATTTCATAAAAATCAATATTTTAAGGGGTGCTACGAGCGGAAAATTCTACGAGAAAACCAATGAATCATTTGAACCTCATTTTGTAATTTGAAACTACAATTTCCGGTTCAGTTTAGAAACAACGCATGTACCATCAGTTTCCTTATGCACTTAAGTGTTCTATTGGTTGAGCCATAAATTGTAGTTCCTACTTGCAAAATGTAGTGCGTTTAAAAACTCGACGTTTTGTATGTACCTCCTGTGGCATGGTGTTACCTATTCGTAACGCCGCATTTTTTTACTTTTTACTTTTTTTTTTTTTTTTTAAATTGAGTCTTTCTTTTGTGGAATGATTTTGCGAATTTTCATCAATTTTTCTGTTTTTTTTTTTGTTTTGCCCTAAATGATTACTGAAAATTTGAAATTTTGAGAAAACAATTCGGGACTCAATGTTTTAACGAAACCTGCACCGTAGATGTGCAACCACCCCCCCCCCCCCCCCCCCCCCCNGCCGAAACCAAGATCCAAAATTATTTCACGCCATAGAGTTAACGGAATTATGGACGTACCTATGTTAAAAGGAACTATGTGCATAGGGTTTGCGTGAGACGTATAGTTCCTTTTGGCATAAGTATAGTTCCTTTTGGCATAAATATGTTCTTATAAGTTTTTATAGTTTCCAAATTCTGGGCGACCCCTCCCACCAACTGGATCCACCGTGCGACGAAGGCGCTTGGAGTCTTTTCACCACTGGGTAACGGTTCACGAGAACCGAGTATTCAATCATCTCTGGGAAAATGCAAGCCCTTTTTGGACGTATTCAAAGCGGAAGGAACTATATTCATGGCGACACGAGCCGTGTCTTTTAAGTACACTAACGGATCTCGGAGCTCACGTCACAACGGACATAGTTCCATTTGAGGTTTATCCCTCGGCTCGCGTTGTCTGCGAGGACGAGACGACGCGGCGCGGCGCGGCGGCGTGACGGCTCTGACGTCAGTTCGCCCACCGAGCCCCCGGTTTCCCGCGAAAAATCCGGGGGGTCGCCCGAAATCCGGCAAGGACCCCCGCCGAGTGACGGGAACAGCGCGGCGGCAAATTCGCCCGTCGTTACGCAAAACTTCCATTGCCGATTCTGCCGTAATTCCGCCATTCTCACGCTTGACGTGGGATATTACAACCGTGACGTCATTGACGTCAAGACAACATTGTTCCCCACCACGGAGTCCTTTCCTATACCAAACAAAGATAAACTGTCTCGCTTCCCTCCGCGTGACCCTAATGTGACGTCATCTTACTCTCTTTCCAAGGGTCGCGAACACCCGAATTGTATCGCAAATCGACGGTGAAACTGCAAAAATGCGTATTTCGATTGCGGTCCTTCGGAATCTCCGCTCTTATTTGATTTTCTGAAAGGCGACTGAACCTACACTATGACTTGATATTTTAACGGAAAATCTACACTGTAAGCTCCGAGACCTCCTAAATTTGCATACCTGGTAACGCTTAGTTCCAGCGTTCTACAGGGCCGATTCACATGCTATCAGTGTTCAGGGTCCATCACAATGGCCGATTAAAATTTAATAGGCACCCAGAGTGTTTGTTAATTTTTAACCGGATAAATCTGTAACAAGAGGTGAAAGAGCCGGACCTAACAATATGTCTCGCGTATCAATCAACAAATCGATGGCTAAGTCGAAAGGTACGTATCGCGAAATACGAAATCGAAAGTACGTAGCATGGTACTCGCTCAACGCTGACAGAAAACAGTACCGAAGCGCCTTCAATTTTTCAAGTATGCACCACGAACATCCTTCAAGCACGAATAGTTGTATCCCCACGCCATGGAAAACGTTGACTCTTTCTGCCTTGCTCATGAAGAGCGGTGTGTAAAACTTCGCATTTTGTATGAATTAACTATTTTAGAGAACTGTTATGAATATTTTTCGTTGAAGTTTTCATATACTTTCGGCCCAATTGCGAATAGAATTTCCTCGGAAATTTTTAAGGTTGTAACTATCATTAGTTTCGCGGGTATAATGTGCTTTGTTGAAAGATTTCTCATCACCGCTAAGTGGTACCGTGAGGCCGTGTGGTACCCGTTGAAGGGATGGTGTGTACTGCCGTGCCGAGGAAAAACGCCTTATGAACATTTAAGAGTTGCCATATTCTCTCCGATAAAATGTTTATTTTTGAGGAAAATTATCAATATTTTTCCTTGAAATTTTTGCACTGTTTGGATCAAATCACAAACGAAATTCTCTGAAAAATCTGAGGAATTTTCACATAGATATTCCCATAAATTCGTGATTTATCAGAGTAAATTTGGAAACACCTAAAGGCTCATACGGCATTTTTCCTTAGCAAAGCCGTGTAAAGCTTTAGTTTCGTATCAATTAATAAAGTATGTTTAACTTTGCTGTGTTTCAGATCGGAGTTTCATAGTGGCGAACGCGCAGAACAACCTATGTCACGTGATCTACGCCTCGGACGGGTTCTGCAAGATGACCGGGTTCAGCAGGTCTGACGTCATGCAGAAGTCGGCCCTGTGCCAGTTCCTCCACGGGCCACTCACGTCCCAGCACGCGGTCAACGTCATCAAGGAGGCCCTCTACACGGGCGATGAGAAACACTTCGAAATCCTCTACTACAAAAAAGACGGTCAGTCAATCTCATTATTCTTCCTCAGACTCCATACCCTGAACGAACGGTCACGGAAAAAAATGCATTGCTGATTTTACGATTAAATTGTCTAAAGATATGTCCGACATGTTTCAAATGTACATTTCACCACAGTGGAAAGGTAAATTAATCACGGGGGTGGTTAAATTAGCATTTTCTTTCATTGTAAAATTTACATTGAAACATATCGGACACTTTCTTTAACTACAAATTTTTAAATCAGCAATATCATTTTATTCCGTGTTGAACAAAATCAGGAAACGTGGCATGCCAATGCTGCCGCGCTAAGACCAACTAACAACTGGAAGTATTTCTGTCAAACGGAACTAAGCGCCAATTTGAGTTTCTTTTGAGGAATTTAGAACGCCGGATAGCGCGTTCTGTCAAACGGAACTAAGCGCCATGGAAAAGCATTGCGAGTATAGGACGGAATGAGCCCGACGCCCGGTTCCGCCGCCAATCCAAGCCCCCCTCTATCTTCCTCCCGCGATGGCGCTTAGTTCCATTTGACAGAAATACGTCCAACTTTGGAACTTAAAACATGCATCTCTTGAAAAAACAAAAACTGCACTTAAGCGTCTTGTCCTCCAAGCCCCTCATTTACAACGTGGTGGATTCATCGACATCGGATAAGTCATTGGTAAAGTTCCGGCGAAAGTCAGGGTTGAAATCCGGGCGAGAGGGCTCAATCAGCAAATCAAAAGCGCTTTAAAAGGTGTAATACCACCTGAAAACAAATCGACTGCGGAGTCGAAGCGACCGGGTTTTCTCTCCGGCAATGAATGAACAAACAGTGGACGGATTTAAGCGGGAAACGCGTGGAATCCTATTATTTCTCACTCGAGTTTTTTTTTCACGGTCGCTTGATTCCAGGAGGTCCGCTTAGCTCCGCATCCCGTTGCCCAGGTTTCAGTTTTATTTTTCCCCACGGCGCA